ATATTTAAGGATTTTTGAGTGTGAATTAAGAATTAAAACAGTTGAATTTGTTTAACTTAACTAATTTATATATAAACTTATTTTACAACAATTGCGAAACAAGTTATATCAACTTATACTAATCACTCTTGTTGGCCCGGATGTAAGCGCGCGAGGGGTCTTATAGTGGGAGGAAACCGGAGAACCCGGGGAAAACCCACGTGGTCGGGCAGGTGACCCCTTACCTTTTCACGTCCGTTCCGGGAATCGTACCCCGGTCGGCTAAGTGAAAGGCGAGTGTGTTACCACTGCGCCACCCTACCACCCTTAACTTAACTAATTTGATTTAACATCCATATATATATATATATATATATATGTGTGTGTGTGTGTGTGTGTGTGTGTGTGTGTGTGTGTGTGTGTGTTTGTGACGTTTAAGAAGAATGAGGTTACAGCTGTGTCACCTTGCACTTTTGCGATTTAACGAAATTCAATCCAAAGACGGAACAGAAACTAAGACAAATTGCCTGGTATATTATGCCGCAATCAACAATAAAACAAAATTACATGTCTTAATCAATCACTTGGTTTTATTTTAGAGACTGAAATTTCAATCACGACATGAGGGGTACTGGCCTAGAATAAACCTTGGAACAAAAGTCCAGGTCTGAATCAATCACAAGTTCTAATTGTTAGAGGCTGAAAGTAAAATCTAAGACAGAGAAGAGGGGAACTGGCCTGGTTATATCAAAAGTTTACAGTTTATAGGTTTCAATATCCATATACACGTGATGTATTTATATCAAACTTTTACAAGTTAAAAACTTTTAAGAAGTTTGTATCAACTAAAATCAGGGTGTTTTTATATCTGCATAAACCTAACAATATCGATATGAAAAGTAAAACTTTTCGATTGACATGAAAAAGCTGGTATTGGTGATGTTACGACGGAAGTTGTAAAATTTTCACCAGCTGCCGCTTGTACCCGATCCACAATTTCCCATTTAAATTGCTAGCTAGAGCGCATGGTCTCACGTCGCAGGAAACTATTTGATGACGATATTCTCCGAAGGAATCGATAGAAAAAACCACCTTATTTTCATAATCGGCAATTATTATCTGTCCTTGGGGTCCGAAACACATGTCCCGTGGATTAAATGTTGTCCTCGGTGAAGATATGTTAACGAAAACAACGTCAGAACTGTTTCGTTTTTTAAATGTTTCGTTGTTTGATGACAACTTATCACTACTAAAATCATCTAATTTAAAAATGGCTCCATCGGGTGTTGGAGAATGATCTGCAGTATTGTGCCGATATAAACTAATCTGTTGTATATGGTCCGAACTAGAGTATCGAAACTTAAATTCTAAATTAGTATTCAAAACTGATATATTGGGTTTTCCGTTTCCTCCCCACGCAACAAACGACCGGTCCAAAATTGCTATTCGCCCGGTGTCTGGACAGGATCGAATACGTTCCGGATAAATCAACGGAACGCCTCCCAAATTTAGTTGGTCTACTGCCTGTAAAATTCGGCCATGAAGGTCATATTTTGTGATATTGTACTCCATTCCAACCAAAGCTGTTCCATTAGTCAGCATACAAAGTGATAGAGGCAGGTGTTTCGTCTTGAAGGCTACCCTAGCAGATTCTGGGGGTTCTCTTTCTCTGACAGAATTGTCTCTACAACACATCCACAACTCTTTAGTAGCAGTAGAATAACTGATATCAGTGATGATGACATCTAGAGACACCATCTTCCTAGTCTCACCATCGCGGTTTACCATGATCACCTCGTTATTGTTCCAGTACATGATCCACGCTCTACTGTTGACAACCGCTATCGTGTTGATATCCTTGCCTTTTGCCGTAGAGAAATGAAACACGCCAATGTCTTTTTGGTCAGAATTTGATGGATGTTTATCATCGTCAGAAGATGACACTAGTAATTCTGAACCTTGCAAATCTTTGAAATCACCATTCAGCTGATCATGATTCCATTTTCCTGAAGGATAACTATCAGTGTTTCTCAAACTTTTTGATGTCTTTATGTTTCGAAGTCTAGTGTTGTCGCCAGGTTTACCAGCAGTAGTAGATCTTTTAAACAAAGGCATGTCTGCCTGATCCTCGTCCGAGACTGAAGAATGATGATACACTATGAACGATTTGTGCTGTAAATTGTTTAATTCTGTCACACGACTGATAAATCACCGTATCAAACACAGATATATCTTGACATGAACTGTATCAATTCTTTTTCCGAGTAATTCTGTCACATACCTTTGATAAGTCAGGTTATCAGACTTGCAATCAGCTGTGGATACTTCTGTAGTACTGATAACACATACACGAGCTAAACTACCTCACGTTGATAAAGTGTGAAGATAAATAGTATCAGTACTGTACACAGGGGTATACGTATCACCGGACTTATATATCATATAAATGAATATTTATCACAGTTATTGATGTTAACAGTATGTTACAGTTAAAATGCATTGTTTTATTAGCCAATGCACACCACGTGATTATCAGTTGTTAATACAAATATAGAACCGGAGACAGTAGATGGATAAATCTGCATCATACAGCTGCTTTGACCTTAAAGTAGTCGTCAGTGAGGCTATATATGGGCGTCAGTCATGTAACCTAACAGGCGGCTGAGTAAAATCCATAATGATTGACAGAAATGTCTAAATCTACATTGGCACATGCCCCATTATTCGATACGTTTAAACGCTTTCAGAGATCTGATCATTTTAGAACTTCAAGTACAATTATAGATTTTGAACTATGCCACTTGGTTTGGATGAATTAAGATGTGACATACACCTTACCACAACTCTCATGGACGAGAAGTCCACCAGCAGTGTGTCCTCTGAAAGACAGTACCAAAGACAAACAAGTGAACAGCACTTTTTAGAGCCACGACGGTAAGCTTACATTCTAGGCGCTTATCATCCTCGTCATCAATATAAATATATTTATCTATATCGTATTCACACACGTAATGTTAGAGGCGAGTTATTGTACCATTCCTATTCCACCCTTACAGTTACAGGGGTAAACTAGAAAATACGAGAACAATTTTATTGTATATCATGCTAGAGGAAAAATTCACGTGAGCCTCATATCTATATTCACCTATTACTTCCTACAAGAACTTAACGATGTTTGTTGAAGTTAGTGATCTCTCGAGACGCAGTTCAATGTTTCCATATTTGGTTATATCCATGTTATTGAACTCGCCATAAATACATTGAATATCTTTATGTGTGCTCACGGCGGTACACGCTCGCAGTTTGTATTATAAATTAGATTAAGGAGGACAAAGTTTATCGACGTTCTTAGATGTCGTATTTGTGAATGATAAATCATAACAAGACGGGGTATTTAGTTGTTTGTGTTGTGGTTACATCAAATGAAGACTTTTTGGAGATTTTTTTTATTCAGGGTTCAGTTTTACACCATCGCGATGTTGTTGTCATGTCAACCTGGTTGGTTCGATATTAATAAAACAAAATGTGTTTAGTATGAACATGACGGTTTGTTTGTTTGGTGTGAATATGGCGATTTGTTTGGTGTGAATATAACTGTGTATTTGGTGTGAATATGACTGTGTATTTGGTGTGAATATGACTGTTTATTTGGTGTGAATATGACTGTTTGTTTGGTGTGAATATGACGGTTTGCTTGGTGTGAATATGACTGTTTATTTGATTGGTGTGAATATGACGGTTTGTTTGGTGTGAATATGACGGTTTGTTTGGTGTGAATATGACTGTTTGGTGTGAATATGACGGTTTGTTTGTTTGGTGTGAATATGACGGTTTGTTTGGTGTGAATATGACGGTTTGCTTGGTGTGAATATGACGGTTTGTTTGGTGTGAATATGACGGTTTGCTTGGTGTGAATATGACTGTTTGTTTGGTGTGAATATGACTGTTTGTTTGGTGTGAATATGACTGTTTGTTGAATATGACGGTTTGTTTGGTGTGAATATGACGGTTTGTTTGGTGTGAATATGACGGTTTGTTTGGTGTGAATATGACGGTTTGTTTGGTGTGAATATGACTGTTTATTTGATTGGTGTGAATATGACTGTTTGTTTGGTGTGAATATGACGGTTTGCTTGGTGTGAATATGACGGTTTGTTTGGTGTGAATATGACGGTTTGTTTGGTGTGAATATGACTGTTTATTTGGTATGACGGTTTGTTTGGTGTGAATATGACGGTTTGTTTGGTGTGAATATGACGGTTTGTTTGGTGTGAATATGACGGTTTGTTTGGTGTGAATATGACGGTTTGCTTGGTGTGAATATGACGGTTTGTTTGTTTGGTGTGAATATGACGGTTTGTTTGTTTGGTGTGAATATGACGGTTTGTTTGGTGTGAATATGACGGTTTGTTTGGTATGCATATTAACAAGTTGTTATTTGACCTTGTAACTTGATAATGATCGAAGATCTACTCTCCGTGAACATCGAAGAAACAAGTCTGACTAGGTAGTGTTATCAAAATGACATTTTCACTTTTGATACTTCATTATAACACGGACTTATATACACATATAAGTCCGTGATTATAAGTAGCATATCAAACAGACATTCAAACTGTTCAAGTTATCTTTTCCATATTTTCTGGTTGTATCCGTAGCAACCAGCCTTACATTTACATTGTCAAAACGCACCTCTTTTCTCAACCGGTGTTGTCCTATATCGAACACATAAATATCAATTATGATGAACTTAAATAGGTGTTCAGGTATCGTTAACAACCATAGCCCTTTTACAGTAAGACGGTAATTTATTTGACAATACGAGGGTGGTTGGTAGGCGCAATGATAACTCTGACATAGATGTGTAACGAACGACGTCTCGCGACCCGCTAGTGGCCGCACCGCGGACGTCACCTCTGTAGTTACAATAATAAAAGTGCCCAATGGGTTCGACTGCCGCTTTCGCTTGCAGATTTCACAAACAAATTTCTACCAAGTACTGGCAATAATGACGAGAAGAATTAAACAGATTCAACAATTTATTATATATTTTACAAGAGTAAAGTTTAGCATGAAAGACATTTAACCGGCTCAGTGAGTGTTTTTAATTAACCCTAACAATGTACAGAAGCCACCTGAAATAAACAAACTTTTACCTAAACTAACTACCAGGCAGGAACCAATGTCGTGGTTGTCGAAATTCTCTAGCTAAATTAACTCTCGGCCCACGGAATCTGACACCGTTCCTCGGAGCGAGTCTCAAACCTCGCCGAACGGACAAATCTCCGCCACGTGACCGACTCCAAATTTACAAAGTCCAACTCAACACTACCGCCTTCTCCTACGTTCGTCTTGGCGAGGGGGGCACACAAAATTAGCCTCACCGAACGAGAGAAAACTACTCCCCGAGAATACCAATTCTCGAATTATCCACTATTTAACAAAATTTCAACAGCTAGCGAACTTTCCCCTCAATCACGACACGAGGTTCCAGCCAAAACTTAAGTCCGCATAAATCGAAAAATATACCAAAATACACGGTCGGAAATCAAACCTATCGGGTTGTAGGTGGCAACTGATGTTTAGTAAACCATTTTATAACATTTTAGGGAAGAGATGGGCGCTGACAACACAAAAATCTAACAGATTACCCTGCCCGAATTTCAATACCGACCTATCGTATCTTGGCCTCCAAAGGAAGAGGCTGTGACGTCACTTTTTCTCCCAGAGTTCCTCGCTTCCTCGGACAGGGTTGTACTAAATTCCGGAAAAACGACACGAAGCGACCCACGCGTCGCTACAGATGTAAGTAAGGCTGCTCTGTAGGTGATACACAGGCTCATTGTCTCTCCTCGAATCGGATCTTCATGCCATGTTTTGGTTCTATTACCAACCTAGCTATATCTAACACCTCATGGTCTTCGTCAAGTAAAACTCGGAACCTGAAAAACACAAAGTTATCAAGTCAGCAGGTGATGTCTGTAGCAAGGCAAATAAATTATACAAATTTAATACGTATCTTTATAATCAAGAAACGAAGAATGTGCAAGACCAGTGGAACCTTTCAATGCAAATTTAGAATTAGAGTCAAACAATGGATAAAATTACATTATACAGCTGTCACGTACAAGGGCTTAAATCGTAAAACCAAAATTGATCGAAAGTAATGAAAACGTAAAGATTGGGTGGTCGGGTGGCGCAGTGTTAACGCACTCGCCTTTCACCTAGCCGACCGGGGTTCGATTCCCGGAACGGACGTGAAAAGGTAAGGGGTCACCTGTCCGACCGCGTGGGTTTTCCCCGGGTACTCCGGTTTCCTCCCACAATAAGGCCCCTCGCGCGCTTACATCCGGGCCAACAAGAGTGATTAGTATAAGTTTAAATAACTTGTTTCGCAATTGTTGTAAAACAAATAAAGTTTATATTTAATGAAAACGTCTTGATGGGGAGGTGTACTGACCACATATTTAATATATTTCGTAATTTTGCATATAGCTGATAATTTTGGAAAAACTTCATCTACATGTATATTTTCTGAAGTGCATGACACAATGATATTGAAAATACAATCGCGGAAATGAATCACTTAGCCTAAACAACCAAAGGTTGAAATATTTTCACTGAATTAACAACCAAATCACAGTGGGGGAGCAATAGTCGATTAAAGCGTTGGTTACGTCACTTCCGGTGAGGATATGAGACACGTAATTTGACTCTCTCTACTCATGACAGTTCATGTTTAATCAGAAGTTGAGAAACGTTGTACTGACTTACTAATATCATTGTACAAAACACTCTATCCTAATTCATCTGGATGGAATATCATGGGAGTCCAACATGTTATCTAACAAGGTAGCCATCAGTTTATTCAAGGAGACCCAGACTTATATTAACCCTGCCTGTTCACGGAGCGATAAACACAGAAACAGACTCATGTTCGTCAGTGGTTCCTACCTCCGTGAAAACTATCTTTATATAATACTAGCTGCATCAAGAACGCAAAACCATAAATCATCGATACTTCCGGTCACGTGATAATGAGAATTTAGCTACTGTAGGCAACCCATTTAAAACAGTTGGATCATTAGGTTTTGATTTCATTCCTTTTTGAAGAATCTTTTTCATGTGTTGGGTATAAATGGTTTTGATTTATGTAACGAGTTTCTGTGTACTTGCCTTTTCAGGATTCTACTGATAATAACTTTCTGTTCATTCATTGAGAAGTTTTGTCCAATGCAATTTCTGAAAAAGAACCCAACATGTTTGAAATAGTTATAACAGTTAGGTATAGAAGGTATGGGAAAAAGGATAATTCTGCTTAGGAAATTGTACTATTTGTGCTCAGAACCAGGTCAAAGTTCAAATGATTGTATAAAAATTGCCTCATACTGTATACCTAAACGGCAGTTTCCCAAAGAACCCGACTTCATTTCTGTTTAATTTAAACGACGGTGATATTGGATTTCAGATGGACATGAACAATGACAACTTTACGATTTGACCGCTTTAGGATCATTCCAGACGAGTGTAAGTTGAATTCCAGTTATGGAAGTTATTTTTAAAAATATGTGATGTTCATGCACACTAAGAGTAACCATTAATGTTACAAAACACGATTACTGTGTGCAAGATAACATATACATATGGACTACTGTTATCATGTAAAGCATTGACCTAACAATAACCATCAAGTAAATTCCAGCATGGCAATATAATCATAATCCAAACTCAAATTCAATACAACTAAGGCAAAATATGAACAAAGAAAGATTTACACGGAGATTCAAGAAAAAGTACCACGAGAATAAGACCAGGTGTTCTGGAAGAGTAATCGTCTTTTGCTTCATCGATGACACCCTCCATGTTAACCTTGGTCAATCCAAGTAAGTAATAAGTAATGTTTAATATGGTACTTTATGACGTCATATCATTGTTTACTTAATGACGTTATATCATTGTCTTGTGATCTAGAATGTTAATTAATAATTTAATTATTTAAATTAAATTAATAAATAAGTGTTACTTATGTCAACACAATCAAGATATTGAAATAAAGAGGGGGTGTTTTTCATTTTTTCCCATTTGAAATACATCACTGTCCTGTTGTTATTGTGTATGGTATCTTGCTTTTGTGATGGTCAGTCTGACCTATCTATCAAAACATACAGCCTTCCAAATCTGATTGAAACAAACCTTGGACCAGCAGCGAACGCCGTAAAAGCATATGGACTCCTCTTGGCCACATTTTCAGGGAGGAAACGCTCTGGTCGAAATTCCTGTAAACATATAGTATCATTATCTGACTATACATTCCACATAATATGACCTAAGTTCATTACAAGGATATCAAAAATGTCAAACGTTTTGTAAATACATTTCAATGTAATACAGACATGCTTTGAAAGAAGTAGGAGTTATCTCCCCTCCAACATATCTTGGACATATGCTTGCATATCAGATCAAGAAAATAGCTTCAATATCTATGACGTAGTAGGAAGCCTCGGCCTCTGTATGTACTTACTGCCCTTCCGTAGTCACGTGAGGTCAATATACAAAATGACCCTTTTAAAAATACATATTACATGTTAAGACCACTCACAGTTGGGTTCTCATACACATCCGGGTTACGATGAAGTACAGCAAAGTTGACCCCGACAACCGACCCGACAGGAAAGGTCTGTCCCTCTAATTCCATGGGTTTAGTGAGTTGTCGTGTCGTAGTTGCTACTGGAGAATACAGTCTCAAGTTCTCTTTCAGGAACAGGGTAGTCTTCTGTAGTTTGCCCAGGTCTTCCCTACACAAACAAATCAGATTTACTATTAGGGTTTTGTATTTTATCTTGGTTTCTTTTTTATTTTTGGTATACACTGCTGTTTGTTATACAATTTAATTTTTATCAAAATTAAATAATACTGGTTCAGCATATCGCTTGCCAATATGGAAATCTATAAAACTATATCAAGAAACTCCGCAAGAAAGTCTAACGAATATCAGTTCAACAGAAATCGCGTAAAAATCGCAATGGCCAACTGCGACCATCTTGAAGAACGTGAATAAGCAGGGCTCGTGCTGATCCAATTAGTAAGTGTTTGACAACAAAAAGGGTAAAGTGATACATCACAAAGAATCAATATATCACAAGGTATACAAAGAATCAATATATGTCAAAGAATCAATATATGCAAAGAATCAATATATCACAAAGAATCAATATCACAAAGAATCAATATATCACAAAGAATCAATATATCACACAAAGAATCAATATACAAAGAATCAATATACACACAAAGAATCAATATACACAAAGAATCAATATACACAAATAATCAATCTACCACAAAGAATCAATATATCACAAAGAATCAATATACCACAAAGAATATACAAAGAATCAATACATCACAAAGAATCAATATACCACAAAGAATCAATATACCACAAAGAATCAATATACCACAAAGAATCAATATATCACAAAGAATCAATATATCACAAAGAATCAATATACCACAAAGAATCAATATACCACAAAGAATCAATATATCACAAAGAATCAATGTACCACAAAGAATCAATATATCACAAAGAATCAATATATCACAAAGAATCAATATATCACAAAGAATCAATATACCACAAAGAATCAATATATCACAAAGAATCAATATACCACAAAGAATCAATATACCACAAAGAATCAATATATCACAAAGAATCAATATATCACAAAGAATCAATACATCACAAAGAATCAATATACCACAAAGAATCAATATATCACAAAGAATCAATATATCACACAGAATCAATACATCACAAAGAATCAATATATCACAAAGAATCAATATACAATATACCACAAAGAATCAATACATCACAAAGAATCAATATATCACAAAGAATCAATATACCACAAAGAATCAATATACCACAAAGAATCAATATATCACACAGAATCAATATATCACACAGAATCAATCAATCACAAAGAATCAATACATCACAAAGAATCAATATATCACATAGAATCAATATATCACACAAAGAATCAATATACCACAAAGAATCAATATATCACAAAGAATCAATATACCACAAAGAATCAATATACAATATATCACAAAGAATCAATATACAATACATCAAAAAGAATCAATACATCACAAAGAATCAATACATCACAAAGAATCAATACATCACATAGAATCAATATATCACACAAAGAATCAATATATCACAAAGAATCAATACATCACATAGAATCAATATATCACACAAAGAATCAATATACCACAAAGAATCAATACATCACAAAGAATCAATATATCACAAAGAATCAATATATCACAAAGAATCAATATACCACAAAGAATCAATATACCACAAAGAATCAATATATCACAAAGAATCAATACATCACAAAGAATCAATATACAATATACCACAAAGAATCAATATACCACAAAGAATCAATGTACCACAAAGAATCAATACACCACAAAGAATCAATACATCACAAAGAATCAATACATCACAAAGAATCAATATATCACAAAGAATCAATATACCACAAAGAATCAATATATCACACAGAATCAATATACACAAGAATCAATATATCACAAAGAATCAATATATCACACAGAATCAATATATCACAAAGAATCAATATATCACACACAAAGAATCAATATATCACACAGAATCAATCAATCACAAAGAATCAATCAATCACAAAGAATCAATCAATCACAAAGAATCAATATATCACACAGAATCAATCAATCACAAAGAATCAATAAATCACAAAGAATCAATATATCACAAAGAATCAATCAATCACAAAGAATCAATCAATCACAAAGAATCAATATATCACAAAGAATCAATATATCACAAAGAATCAATATATCACAAAGAATCAATATATCACAAAGAATCAATATATCACAAAGAATCAATAAACCACAAAGAATCAATATATCACACAGAATCAATATATCACAAAGAATCAATATATCACAAAGAATCAATATATCACAAAGAATCAATATATCACAAAGAATCAATATATCACAAAGAATCAATAAATCACAAAGAATCAATATATCACAAAGAATCAATATATCACAAAGAATCAATATATCACAAAGAATCAATATATCACAAAGAATCAATATATCACAAAGAATCAATATACCACAAAGAATCAATATATCACAAAGAATCAATACATCAAAAAGAATCAATACACCACAAAGAATCAATATATCACAAAGAATCAATATACCACAAAGAATCAATATATCACAAAGAATCAATACATCACAAAGAATCAATATATCACAAAGAATCAATATATCACAAAGAATCAATATACCACAAAGAATCAATACATCACAAAGATTCAATACAACACACAGAATCAATATACCACAAAGAATCAATATATCACAAAGAATCAATATACCACAAAGAATCAATACATCACAAAGAATCAATATATCAATCAATACACACAAAGAATCAATATACACAAAGAATCAATATATCACAAAGAATCAATATACCACACAGAATCAATATACCACAAAGAATCAATATATCACAAAGAATCAATGTACCACAAAGAATCAATATATCACAAAGAATCAATACATCACAAAGAATCAATATACCACAAAGAATCAATATACCACAAAGAATCAATACACCACAAAGAATCAATACATCACAAAGAATCAATACATCACAAAGAATCAATATACAATACACCACAAAGAATCAATATACCACAAAGAATCAATATATCACAAAGAATCAATATACAATATATCACAAAGAATCAATACATCACAAAGAATCAATATATCACAAAGAATCAATATATCACAAAGAATCAATATACCACAAAGAATCAATATACCACAAAGAAGCAATATACAATACATCACAAAGAATCAATATATAATATATCACACAGAATCAATATACCACAAAGAATCAATACACCACAAAGAATCAATATATCACAAAGAATCAATATATCACAAAGAATCAATATATCACAAAGAATCAATATATCACACAAAGAATCAATATATCACAAAGAATCAATATATCACAAAGAAATATATCACAATATATATCACAAAGAATCAATATACCACAAAGACAAAGAATCAATATATCACAAAGAATCAATATATCACAAAGAATCAATATACACACAAAGAATCAATATATCACAAAGAATCAATATATCACAAAGAAATATATCACAAAGAATAATATAACAAAGAATCAATATATCACAAAGAATCAATATATCACAAAGAATCAATATATCACAAAGAATCAATATATCACACAAAGAATCAATATATCACAAAGAATCAATATATCACAAAGAATCAATATATCACAAAGAATCAATATATCACATCAATATATCACAAAGAATCAATATATCACAAAGAATCAATATATCACAAAGAATCAATACATCACAAAGAATCAATATACCACAAAGAATCAATACACCACAAAGAATCAATATATCACAAAGAATCAATCAATCACAAAGAATCAATATATCACAAAGAATCAATATATCACAAAGAATCAATATACCACAAAGAATCAATATATCACAAAGAATCAATATATCACACAGAATCAATCAATCACAAAGAATCAATACATCACAAAGAATCAATATATCACAAAGAATCAATATACCACAAAGAATCAATACATCACAAAGAATCAATACACCACAAAGAATCAATACATCACAAAGAATCAATACACTACAAAGAATCAATATATCACAAAGAATCAATACATCACAAAGAATCAATATATCACAAAGAATCAATACATCACAAAGAATCAATACATCACAAAGAATCAATACACCACAAAGAATCAATACATCACAAAGAATCAATATACCACAAAGAATCAATATACCACAAAGAATCAATATATCACAAAGAATCAATATATATATCACAAAGAATCAATACACCACAAAGAATCAATATATCACAAAGAATCAATATATCACAAAGAATCAATATATCACACAAAGAATCAATATATCACAAAGAATCAATATATCACAAAGAATCAATATATACAAAGAATCAATATATCACAAAGAATCAATATATCACAAAGAATCAATATACAATAATCAATACACACAAAGAATCAATATATCACAAAGAATCAATATACACACAAAGAATCAATATATCACAAAGAATCAATATATCACAAAGAATCAATATATCACAAAGAATCAATATATCACAAAGAATCAATATATCACAAAGAATCAATATACACAAAGAATCAATATACACAAAGAATCAATATATCACAAAGAATCAATATATCACAAAGAATCAATATATCACAAAGAATCAATATATCACAAAGAATCAATATATCACAAAGAATCAATATATCACAAAGAATCAATATACACAAAGAATCAATATACACAAAGAATCAATATACACAAAGAATCAATATATCACAAAGAATCAATATATCACAAAGAATCAATATATCACAAAAGAATCAATATATCACAAAGAATCAATATATCACAAAGAATCAATATATCACAAAGAATCAATATACAATCACAAAGAATCAATATATCACAAAGAATCAATATACCACAAAGAATCAATATCACAAAGAATCAATATATCACAAAGAATCAATATATCACAAAGAATCAATATATCACAAAGAATCAATATATCACAAAGAATCAATATATCACAAAGAATCAATATATCAATAGAATAATATATCACAAAGAATATACCACAAAGAATCAATATACAATACATCACAAAGAATCAATATACCACAAAGAATCAATATACAATATACCACAAAGAATCAATACATCACAAAGAATCAATATATCACAAAGAATCAATATATCACAAAGAATCAATACATCACAAAGAATCAATATATCACACAGAATCAATATACAATATACCATAAAGAATCAATACATCACAAAGAATCAATCTACCACAAAGAATCAATACATCACAAAGAATCAATATACCACAAAGAATCAATATACCACAAAGAATCAATATATCACAAAGAATCAATATATCACAAAGAATCAATATATCACAAAGAATCAATATATATACACAAGAATCAATATATCACAAAGAATCAATATATCACAAAGAATCAATATACACATAGAATCAATCAATATATCACAAAGAATCAATATATCACAAAGAATCAATATATCACACAAGAATCAATATATCACAAAGAATCAATATATCACAAAGAATCAATATATCACAAAGAATCAATATATCACAAAGAATCAATATATCACAAAGAATCAATATATCACATATATATACACAAAGAATCAATATATCACAAAGAATCAATATATCACAAAGAATCAATATATCACAAAGAATCAATATATCACAAAGAATCAATATATCACAAAGAATCAATATATCACACAAAGAATCAATATATCACAAAGAATCAATATATATAACAAAGAATCAATATACAATCAATATACAAAGAATCAATATATCACAAAGAATCAATATATCACAAAGAATCAATATATCACAAAGAATCAATATATCACAAAGAATCAATATATCACAAAGAATCAATATATCACAAAGAATCAATATATCACACAGAATCAATCAATCACAAAGAATCAATAAATCACAAAGAATCAATAAATCACAAAGAATCAATATATCACACAGAATCAATCAATCACAAAGAATCAATATACAAAGAATCAATATATCAAAAGAATCAATATATCACAAAGAATCAATATACAAAGAATCAATATATCACAAAGAATCAATATATCACAAAGAATCAATCAATCACACAGAATCAATATATCACAAAGAATCAATCAATCACAAAGAATCAATATATCACAAAGAATCAATATATCACAAAGAATCAATATATCACAAAGAATCAATATACAATATATCACAAAGAATCAATACAAATATATATCACAAAGAATAATATAACAAAGATATCAATATACACAAAGAACAATAATACACAAATCACAAACAATCAATATATCACAAAACTGAATCACACTACATATAACAAATAATAAACTGTGACATCACAAACAATCAATATACCACAAAGATCACAAACACTAAAGATAACAAATATACATAAACTGATGACATAACAAACACTACAGATAAAAAATATGCATAAACTGATGACATCACAAACACTACATATAACAAATACACATAAACAGTGACATCACAAACACTACAGATAACAAATACAACAAAATAGCAACATAAAAATTACCGGCTAACAGAAATGTATCCACCTCGTCCCGGATTTCCTCGTCAGTTAATCTGACTCCTGATTCGTCCTTTGCTGTCATTAATATATCTAAGAAATCCAACTTCTTTTTGGTAGTCAGCACAGAAGAATCATCAGCCTGTGATCAAAGCAAGGTTGGTATGAGTAGATAGTCAGAACGTGGTTGGTATGTATAAATGACGAAACGAGGTTGCCTGGTGTGGATATGTATAAAAGTCAGAAAGAGGGTAACACATGTCAGTAGCCAAAACGAGGCTGGAGCATGTAAAGTCGGAATGAGTTGGCCTGTGTAAACATCCAAAAACAGGATAGAATGTGTAAATATATCTTATGATGTCGATAGTTACAGTGAGTGACGAGGGTTACACGTATGACAAGCGGATTGTCACATGTAAAAAGTCACATATGTCTAGTCACTGTTGTCTAGTAACTAATGTCTAGTCACTTGTGTCTAGTCACTCATGTCTAGTCACTTGTGTCTAGTCACTTATGTCCATATACTTGTGTCTAGTCACTTATGTCTAGTCATTTGTGTCTATGTCTAGTCACTTATGTTAGTCACTAATGTCTTGTCACTTGTGTCTAGTCACTAGAGTCTAGTCACTTGTGTGTAGTCACTTGTGTCTAGTCACTTATGTCTAGTCACTAATGTCTATGTCTAGTCACTCATGTCTAGTCACTTGTGTCTAGTCACTTGTGTCTAGTCACTCATGTCTAGTCACTTATGTCTAGTCACTTGTGTCTATGTCTTGTCACTTGTGTCTTGTCATTTATGTCTAATCACTTGTGTCTAGTCACTTATGTCTATGTCTAGTCACTAATGTCTATACACTTATGTCTAGCCACTTGTGTCTATGTCTTGACACTTGTGTCTTGTCATTTATGTCTAACCACTTATGTCTAGTCACTTGTGTCTAGTTACTTATGTCTATGTCTAGTCACTTATGTCTATACACTTATGTCTAGTCACTTGTGTCTAGTCACTCATGTCTAGTCACTTAGGTCTAGTCACTTGTGCCTATGTCTTGTCACTTGTGTCTTGTCATTTATGTCTAATCACTTATGTCTAGTCACTTGTGTCTAGTCACTTATGTCTATGTCTAGTCACTTATGTCTATACACTTATGTCTAGTCACTTGTGTCTATGTCTTGTCACTTGTGCCTTGTCATTTATGTCTAATCACTTATGTCTAGTCACTTGTGTCTAGTCACTTATGTCTATGTCTAGTCACTTATGTATATACACTTATGTCTAGTCACTTGTGTCTATGTCTTGTCACTTGTGTCTTGTCATTTATGTCTAATCACTTATGTCTAGTCACTTGTGTCTAGTCACTTATGTCTATGTCTAGTCACTTATGTCTATAAACTTATGTCTAGTCACTTGTGTCTATGTCTTGTCACTAATGTCTATGTCTTGTCACTAATGTCTAATCACTAATGCCAAGACACTCATATCTAGTCACTCTTGTCTTATCAATAATGTCTAGTCACTTGTGTCTAGTCACTTATGTCTAGTCACTTGTGCCTATGTCTAGTCACTTGTGTCTAGTCACTAATGTCTATGTCTTGTCACTAATGTCTAGTCACTTATGTCTAGTCACTTGTGTCTATGTCTAGTCACTTGTGTCTAGTCACTAATGTCTATGTCTTGTCACTAATGTCTAGACACTTGTGTTTAGTCACCTATGTCTTGTCACTAATGTCTAGACACTTGTGTTGAGTCACCTATGTCTTGTCACTAATGTCTAGACACTTGTGTTTAGTCACTTATATCTAGTCACTAATGTCTAGACACTTGTGTTTAGTCACTTATGTCTTGTCACTAATGTCTAATCACTAATGTCAAGACACTCGTATCTAGTCACTTTTGTCTTATCACTAATGTCTAGTCACTTATGTCTAGTCACTTGTGTCTGTGTCTTGTCACTTGTATCTAGTCACTTATGTCTAGTCACTTGTGTCTATGTCTTGTCACTTATGTCTATACACTTGTGTTTAGTCACTTATATCTAGAAGGAGATCCCCAACAATCTTATATCAAACCAATAACTTTTTGTACAAGACACACAGTGAATAACAATACAAAATTAGAATTAGACACAGTTTAGCCAAATAATGAATGTCAGCTTTCAAACCTGTGACATTTACATCACCTATAAATGTTAATACGACAACAGATGACTAGTTAAACTGGAATTTGAACTGATAGACGTGGTCAAAGACAAGAGGGTCCATCTGTACAGACAGCCATATGATGGTCATATTGTAGCAATCTATATGGTTATATTGGACCGCCACGAATCAGGAGACTATTTCAACTCTTTCTTTCTTGCATGCTTTTTAACTGCAATTTTCAATACAAATGTAAATATATCTATTTAAATTTCTGAATTACGATATTCTGAATTTTTACGTTGGTATTGATAGATATGATTACATTATGAGCTGATTAGTCCTTCAATGAGTGTGAATTTTTATACCTTTTGACCCAATAAGCTAACATTTTATGAAGTTTAAACCAAATCTATTGATCCTTTCTGTTATTATACATCTGGAAACCAAAATATGACGATAAAAGTATATTTTTAGTAACAGTGACCTTGTAGCTGACCTTTTGACCCCAAACATAATTCCACTCTGTATTACCTCATAAGCTAACATTTATAAAGTTTCAATCAACTCTCTAAATCCCTTCTGAAGTTATCATCTGAAACAAAAATTTGAAATAAATATATCTATTTTAAGCAACACTGACCATTAAGTTGACCTTTTGACCTCAATCTCAATCCTACAATGTATTACTTCATAAGCTAACATTATTTTCATTTTCATTCAAATCCATCCATCATTTCTCAAGTTATCGTCTGGAAACTAACATCTGGACAGACAGACAGAGAGAGACAGACTGACGGATGAACAGACAGACAGAGAGAAACAATAGTTCCCCCCTGCTGTTTCACCAGCTGGTGGGACTGATAAGCAACATCACAGTAAAACAGCTTTTGTTTTTATTATCATTGTAGACATCAAGTGTATCACCTTAGGAACAATGATAGAGGATTTTTTGTTGACATATGTACATAACGATGTTAATTAATGATTGTAAAAAGAAAATTGAGATGAAGTCATTTGAATGGAAAGTTTACACATGGCGGCTATAGGTCATCCTGACCTTGTTACCATGTCACCCACAAAGCAAAGGACAGTAGATGAAAACCCAACAGTTTCATTTTGAAACCTTCCATAGTGCATGTAAACTTACCAGATGAGAAAGCAATCAGGACTGGATAGACTGATGTCCAATTAGAACTGGGTCATAACTTAACATGTACAATACATATAATGGAATGATACATTTTCAGAAATAATGGCTATAAAAGTCTTTTTCATTGCATAATTCTGAATGATAGTTGAGTTAACAAACAATGTATGTCTATTTGTCTGTAACTTTGAGGGCTGAAAAACAGGTATTTACTTTCCATGTCACTTTCATCATATGTGTATGCAAATGAACTGCTTTTTTATCAAAACTGCCACATGACGTAATCAGCTCTAAATATGAGGGGTTTCTGAATAAACTGAGCAGTCAAATTGGACATATGGAATCAATAACGAGTATCCGGATAGATTAGAAACTGGAAGTGCTCAAACACTCTCACTCCCAGTACTAAAACATAATCTATATACATGTATTTGTAACTTTAAATGTGTTTTATAATCCATAGCACACCACTGTCGCCAGAGGTCGCTGGACAATTTGAACCGATCAGAAGGCTAGGCTTAATAGTAATGTCTAATTGCACAGACTGTGACAATGGACTGAAACATTCAGTATTATGTTTAGCCTAAGCGAACAATGGTTTTACCATGACATCCATTAATCAAAGTACTGAAAGTACTGGTATGCTAAGACCATTAAAAAATAAATTCTTTGTTATTAGCTTGCTATATACTGAAACCAACTATATGCAAGCAGTAAATCATTGCAGCCCATAAAAAAATGACCAGCAGATATCAGAAATAACAAGCATAGTAGTATTACTTATGTAATACATCTCCCAAGTAGGCTCCAAGATGCGATGATAAGGAAGTTGTCCATTTCTTTGGATACATTGTAGGGAATGTTGATCTTGGATACCATATTATCACTTTAAAGACTGCGTATCTTATTGGTTTAAGACCTTTAGTTAGACCATCATGCTAATAACATGCTACATACAAATACTGGACAGCTTCATTTTCCAGATTGTTTGTAAATGACTGCATAAGAGTGCCAATTTTCTAAAACAAACATGATTTATCACCATAACTTAAAATAGAAGATGCCTATTCTTTCGGAACACCTGGTCTTATTCTCCTTGTACTTTTTCAGGGAATCTTCAAGTAGATATTGTCTTTGTTTCAATTTTACACTTGTTTTGCTGGTTCTACAATTCTGTTGACATGTTTATATATTCTTTGTTCTCTAAAACTTGTCGCAAGATATTTTATTCCTCTTGTATTATCATTTTTTAACATCCTTACAGTGACCTTGAACCTTGCAATTTGCAAAATGTGAATATCTTTTAGGTTGTGAAATTTGATAGAAAAACGAGGGTAATGCAAAGGAAAACACCCCATGCAACTATCCGTTTTTTGACTGTGACCTTGATCTTTGACATCTGACCCTGAATTTCTAAAGAAACCGACTTCTCCTCATAAGGGATACATGTTCCAAATTTGATTAAGGTATACTAACTGTCTTGGTCTCAATGCGTTTACAAGGTAATCATATAGTACTTATGCAAGTACTGTGATCTCTACATTCAATCCTCAAAATCATTACTATATCCTCTCCACATTGCCCAAGGATAACTGAAACTGCAATCCAAATGATAACTAATACCCCCAACACCCACAGCCTTAGTTATCTCCCCATGGTGACCTTTTGCACAGAAACATCCTCCGAAACACAGCGGCATGTGCACATATTCCCTAACATTCCTGTGAAGTTTTGTTGAAATTGGTCCACAGGTTTAGAAGTTCACCGACATGCAAAACCTGTCTATATTGACCAGTTGCCATGGCAATCAATATTTCGAGGGAAAATGGTGCATGCACATCTACACATTGTCCCGAATATTACTGTAAAGTTTCATTGGAGTTGTCCAGACAAGATGTGTCTACAGAAAGACAAACAGTTGGATGGACAGAGAGACAACTTGATTGGATTTACCCACCCTTTTGGTGGTATAAGAATGCACATGAGTGCTTACAAATTCCATGTGGACAGGCATCATGGAAAAATAATAATAATGATAATAGTAATAATAAAAACATGATAAAGATGTTTATATCTTGTTTTATTCAGTTTTTAGATACAGTATTCTTTCCATGCTTTGATCAGCAATGTAATCTTGTCAGGTCAATATCCTAGTACAAAATTGCATACACAAAATTGGTGTAGGTAGACTTTTAAGATAAATTAAAAAAAATGCATACCTAAGTTTAGATGAAGGTTTTAAACAGAAGTCGTATTATGTTCAGTATACAGTGATTTTTCTAGACAATTGTAAACTGTAAACTCGGTATACAGCGATCTTTTCTACACATTTGTAAACAACAAACTCAGTATGCGGTGATCTTTTCTACAAAAAGTTTTTTTTTATATATTGTATACACTAAACTCAGAAAAAAAAATAAGTAAACCTTTCTATGTACACTACAAACTCAGTATACAGTGAGCCTTTCTACACAAACTTGGTATAACTAGTGAATCTTTCTACTCAAGTAAATTGAAGATTGTATACAAATTTACTACAAATGCAGTATACAATCATCTTTTCCACATTTTTTTAGTTTCCACGATTTGTTGATTCTTCTTTTGTGATGGTAAATATAGTGCCGCCTTTAGAAAGTACTGTGACATTAAAAGGCAACATGGTTGTTAACATCTCCTCAAGTGATTAATCATCTTCAACATCTAATTGGAGGCCGGAAAGAAGGACGTTTTTCTCCACCATAAGGTCCTCAAATCCATTGTTGGTCACAATGGCCAATTCCAAGTTAGAAGAATCAATAGAGATACCTTCTACCATTCCAGATTTCATTTCTTCAGGGACATCCACCTGCTGAAAGAGAGTAAGGGAAATAAATAACTATATTTCTTTATTGCTATGATTATGTGCAAGAAATATACACTTCTGTATAAGCTTATAGTTTTGAACTTCCCAATAAGAGTCTATATTAAATATATTATAATTAATTATTTTGATATTCAGGACTGTCAAATTATAAAGCGATGGACAGCTAGCAAAATAATAATATCTCGACCATGGTCATACAGAGATTGAATCATAAAGTTAAATTTGTGTGATAAATCTGTGCAGTATGATCATTTATTTTGACGTTTATATTTTAAAAATCATTTTGACTTGAAAAGTAATGTGTAATTTAATTATTTACATTGGACCATCATGTAATGGCAAAGCCATTTTCATAATGTAATTGAACCCATGCCTGTTACAAACAGTAGCTGTCCTAACTGATCCAAAAATTAACTTTGGCTACGTCTAACACAAAATTAACTTTGGCTGTCTATTACAAATGCCACATTTAGCTACAGTAGAGGTATTTCAAAAATGTATGTCATTGTAGCTGAAAGGACATAATTAATGGTTACTTAACCAGAATAGTTCTGAACAAACCACTACAAAGCCTGGTTAACTGTACTAAGAAAATGTCCTCTCAATTAATCAATTTCATTGATTATTGACATCTTATTGTTGTACCTACGGTCACTTGAGTTTCTTAAAGTTTCAACTTTACTTTTAATAAGGCCCAAAGTGATAATACTGCAATGTCTTAATGAGCTCTCGAGGGGTATTGGTTAGACTATTTATCCCATTTCATTCCATTCACCATGGAAACAAAACTCTAAAACGCTAAAAAACAGTGGACAATTAATGACAAATATTGAGTCTAGGGCTGGGTAAAATTGATGAATCAAAAGTGTTGAACTGAAAGTTGACGCAGTTGACATAATATACTAAAATTTCTGAGATGAACAAATACAGTACATATATAAAAAGTTCAGGCATAATAAGAATTGTACCAATTACACTTTACACATTCACACTGGGACCTAACACTTTACATATTCACACTGGGACCTTACACTTTACACATTCACACTGGGACCTAACACTTTACACATTCACACTGGGACCTTACACTTTACACATTCACACTGGAACTTTACACATTCACACTGGGACCTAACACTTTACACATTCACACTGGGACCTTACACTTTACACATTCACACTGGAACTTTACACATTCACACTGGGACCTTACACTTTACACATTCACACTGGAACTTTACACATTCACACTGGGACCTAACACTTTACACATTCACACTGGGACCTTACACTTTACACATTCACACTGGAACTTTACACATTCACACTGGGACCTTACACTTTACACATTCACACTGGAACTTTACACATTCACACTGGGACCTAACACTTTACACATTCACACTGGGACCTTACACTTTACACATTCACACTGGAACTTTACACATTCACACTGGGACCTTACACTTTACACATTCACACTGGGACCTAACACTTTGCTAGGTTTATCCTAATCTTTATTAAAATACTTTCCGGGAATCAGATGTTAATTGACATCTTCATTATTCCTAATCTTCATATTTTAATCGTTCACATGCATCACTCTTCAACAGAATCAACGAGACATCATGTCAGAAAGACAAAAACTAAATTTAAGCTAAAACTATATATATTAACTTCACATGTAAACCTTACAATTGGCATAGCTGTAGAGTTCCCGTACGATTTCATACCCTGGACTTGGAGTATTTATAAATTATCTCCGATCAGAAATTTGAAAGAGCTAGATCTACAATAGCACGGACAGTGACTGATATTTGAAAGTAAAATCGATATATTACACAGATAGTTTCCTAGATCTATTCACGGTAGCGTAAGTAGTACAGTACAATATTACGGATAAGTTTTTTTTCTGTTTAATTTCCGATCTGTTGGGCCACTGACAGAAGTGACTGCGATGAGACCATTATGAAACGATCATTCAAAAATAAATCCATTTCAAAATACTGAAATACTTTACGGAAGCAACAAAAATGTGCTAGATGCTTACATAACATTTTTCAAATGCATACTGCTTCAAAGGAAAAGTCTTGGAAAATATTTTGAAAAAAAAAGTGCCATGGCGGCAGTGCCCAGCTTGCGCGTCCCTGTCGAGCCTAAATTCAATACATGCGATGGCTCATTTCAAATGAATTGTTGCAAAAAATGCAATTGCTAGTTCAGTAGAAGTATTGACTTTAAATTCAGCTTACATATATATATAGTGATACTTACCTACATAAATTACCCGCCGTCTTCTTTCAGCCACCGTCTTCTTTCAGGGTCCAGCAGCACTGAGCACCCCGGCTGTTTCCGTCAAAATTTTATGCTACTCTAAATCATTCTTATTTAAGTTTCATTTTTATTTTCAACTACATATTTCAGTATTTTAATAGTTTTCAATAGTATTAAACGGAAAGTAAATTTTCGAAAAAGAAAAAAAGAAAATTATAAATCAATCTTCATATTGATTGAACCCGGACAAAATAGGAACACAAGAAAGATTTATATAGAAACCTCTGAAACAGCACAATTAGAATATGACCAAGTGTTTCGAAAGGGTAAGCATTTCCTGATTCATTGACTACACCCGATATGTAAATCTAGGTCAATCCAAATAAGTAATGTGAGGTTCTCAAATAAGAACAATGTTGACAACAATGATACAACAAGGTCTAAAATAACCCATGTTTCTATAGGAAATGAGTCATTGATGGTTTCTCGCAATAAGAATACTCACCAACGCCTTCCTTCTCATGGCTATGATGTCCTCAGCAAATTTGTGGACGAAGTCTACACATTTCTTGTATTCTTTCCCATCTGCCGACATCATGTAAAGCGTCCAGGACATCATGTGCCAAGGAACACTATAAATTAACATAAAGTAAAGCAAACGTTTTGAAGAATTTGAATTTATGAAAAAAGGTATTTAATTCAAATATAGGAGTGATGTGGGACAATGGGTTCAGGAAATTTATACTCCCATCAGGGGTGATGTGGGACACTGGGTTCAGGAAATTTATACTTCCATCAGGGGTGATGTGGGACACTGGGTTCAGGAAATTTATACTTCCATCAGGGGTGATGTGGGACACTGGGTTCAGGAAATTTATACCCTCACCAGGAGTGATGTGGGACAATGGGTTCAGGAAATTTATACTTCCATCAGGGGTGATGTGGGACACTGGGTTCAGGAAATTTATACCCTCACCAGGGGTGATGTGGGACATTGGGTTCAGAAAAATGATACCCTCACCAGGGGTGATGTGGGACACTGGGTTCAGGAAATTTATACCCTCACCAGGGATGATGTGGGACACTGTGTTCAGGAAATTTATACCCTCACCAGCGGTGATGTGGGACACTGGGTTCAGGAAATTTATACCCTCACCAGCGGTGATGTGGGACACTGGGTTCAAAAAATTTATACCCTCACCAGGGGTGATGTGGGACACTGGGTTCAAAAAATTTATACCCTCACCAGGGGTGATGTGGGACACTGAGTTCAGGAAATTGATACTACTGGTTAATCATTTGAAGACCCTTCCATCCATATAGAGAAATAGATTCTATCATATCTGCCTATTGAGAAGAATTTCTTATATTTTAAATCACAGACAATTTAACGTTTCATAATGTCACATTTTCCTTCTGGATAAAAATGTTTCATTAAACAGCAGAAATATCCTAGTGTTTTATCAACTCTCTGTCTATCCAATCCGATACTTTGACCAAAATTGACAACACTCACAAAAATCTCTTTATGGTCAGGTCGGCAATGCGGCGGACGGCACATGAATATGGATGGTTCTCTCTGTAATAAAATAATTTTATCTTTTTATAACAAGTGCAAAATAAGTTTTTCAAATATATATTAATCACTCTTGTTGGCCCAGATGGATGCGAGCAAGGGGACTTACTGTGGGAGGAACCCAGAGAACCTGAGGGAAACCCACATGTTCGCACAAGTGAACAAAATCACGTGGTCAGTCAGATAAGCAAACCCACGTCTTCCCACAGGTGAACGAACCCTCAAGGTCAGGCAGATGAGCAAACCCACGTGTTCGCACAGGAGAACGAACACTCAAGGTCAGGCAGATGAGCAAACCCACGTGTTCACACAGGTGAACAAAATCACATGGTCGGTCAGATAAGCAAACCCACGTTTTCCCACAGGTGAACGAACCCTCAAGGTCAGGCAGATGAGCAAACCCACGTGTCCGCGCAGGTGAACAAACCCTCACGATCATGCAGATGAGCAAACCCACGTGTTCACACAGGTGAACAAAACCTCAAGGTCAGGCAGATGAGTAAACCCATGTGTTCGCACAGGTGAACAAACCCTCAAGGTCAGGCAGATGAGCAAACCCACTTGTTCGCACAGGTGAACAAACCCTCAAGGTCATGCAGATGAGCAAACCCAGGTGTTCGCACAGGTGAGCAAACCATCAAGGTCCAGCAGATGAGCAAACCCAGGTGTTCGCACAGGTGAACAAACCCTCAAGGTCAGGCAGATGAGCAAACCTACGTGTTCGCACAGGTGAACGAACCCTCAAGGTCAGGCAGATGAGCAAAGCTACGTGTTCGCACAGGTGAACAAACCCTCAATGTCAGGCAGATGAGCAACAATGAAAGACCAAACTCTGCTATCTCATGTAATGGACAAATGAGGTGAAGTTTTTTTTTATTTTCTCGCATTAAACTTTTAATTGAAAGGCCTATAAATAGCAGAAAGGCATCCAGTGCTGTGATAACTGCGTAGGAACATTGATGTTAAGGATTAAATAAATACTAAATGTAGTGGGGGTAAAACATGGGGGAATATCTCCCAACTTAAAACACGCATTCTTAATTAAAATAGATACTGCATAACTTACTGTTCCTGAACATTTTCTACGTGTGAGAGGGAACATCGAAGTATAATGTCCAGTGTTGCCAGCGATAAATCTTTCGTGACCTCGACACTCTTCACTCCACTTGACATTTTCTCTGCATATTTACTCTTCAGTCATACAAAAAATATCAATGAAAATTTTTGTCATATCACATCAGCATCTTAAGATTTTACTACTGACTAAAGGAAGCAAACAATACAAAACTGTCCGGTATGACACCTATAGTAGGTAGGGTACCTATAGTAGGTAGGGTACCTATAGTCGGTATGGTACCTATAGTCGGTATGGTACCTATAGTAGGTCTGACACCTATAGTAGTTAGGGTACCTATAGTCGGTAGGTTACCTATAGTAGGTCTGACACCTATAGTTGGTAGAGTCCTATAGTAGGTATGGTACCTATAGTAGGAAGGGTATCTATAGTAGGTATGGTACCTATAGTCGGTATGGTACCTATAGTAGGTATGGTACCTATAGTAGGTAGGTTACCTATAGTCGGTATGGTACTTATAGTAGGTCTGACACCTATAGTAGGTATGACACCTATAGTAGGTAGGTTACCTATAGTCGGTATGGTACTTATAGTAGGTATGACACCTATAGTAGGTAGAGTACCTATAGTAGGTATGGTACCTATAGTTGGTAGGGTACTTATAGTAGGTCTGACAACTATAGTAGGTATGACACCTATAGTAGATAGGGTACCTATAGTCGGTATGGTACTTATAGTAGGTCTGACACCTATAGTAGGTATGACACCTATAGTAGGTAGGGTACCTATAGTCGGTATGGTACTTATAGTAGGTATGACACCTATAGTAGGTAGGGTACCTATAGTAGGTAGGGTACCTATAGTAGGTATGGTACTTATAGTACGTATGGTACCTATAGTAGGTACCTATAATTGGTATCACACCTATAGTTGGTATGGTACCTATAGTAGGTACCTATAGTAGGTATGACACCTATAGTACATATGGTACCTATAGTAGGTATGGTACCTATAGTAGGTATGGTACCTATAGTAGGTACCTATAGTAGGTACGGTACTTATAGTAGGTATGGAACTTATAGTAGGTATGGTACTTACAGTCGGTATTGTACCTATAGTAGGTATGGTACTTATAGTAGGTATGGTACCTATAGTAGGTACCTATAGTAGGCACCTATAGTAGGTATGGTACCTATAGTAGGTATGGTACCTATAGTAGGTATGACACCTATAGTAGGTATGACACCTATAGTAGGTAGGGTACCTATAGTCGGTATGGTACTTATAGTAGGTATGACACCTATAGTAGGTATGACACCTATAGTTTGTACCTATAGTAGGTATGGTATCTATAGTAGGTATGACACCTATAGTAGGTAGGGTACCTATAGCCTATAGTAGGTAGGGTACCTATAGTAGGTACCTATAGTAGGTATGGTAGGTACCTATAGTAGGTATGGTACATATAGTAGATACCTATAGTATGTACCTATATGGTACCTATAGTAGGTATGGTACCTATAGTAGGTATGGTACTTATAGTAGGTATGGTACCTATAGTAGGCACCTAAAGTAGGTATGGTACCTATAGTAGGTACCTATAGTAGGTATGACACCTATATTAGATATGATACCTATAGTAGGTATGGTACCTATAGTGGGTATGACACCTATAGTAGGTATGGTACCTATAGTAGGTACCTATAGTAGGTATGGTACCTATAGTCGGTATGGTACCTATATTAGGTACCTATAGTAGGTATGGTAACTATAGTAGGTATGATAACTATAGTAGGTATGGTACCTATATTAAGTATGGAACCTATAGTAGGTATGACACCTATAGTAAGTATGACACCTATAGTAGGTATGGTACTTATAACAGGTACCTATAGTAGGTATGACACCTATAGTAGGTATGGTACCTATAGTAGGTATGACACCTATAGTCGGTATGGTACCTATAGTAGGTATGGTACATATAGTAGGTAGGGTACCTATAGTAGGTATGGTACTTATAGTCGGTATGGTACCTATAGTAGGTATGGTACCTATAGCCTATAGTAGGCAGGGTACCTATAGTAGGTAGGGTACCTATAGTAGGTAGGTTACCTATAGTAGGTATGGTACCTAAAGACAGTATGACACCTATAGTCGGTATGGTACCTATAGTAAGTAGGTATGGTACCTATAGTCGGTATGGTACCTATAGTAGGTATGGTACTTATAGTCGATATGGTACCTATAGTAAATAGGTATGGTACCTATAGTCGGTATGGTACCTATAGTAGGTATGGTACCTATAGTATGTAGGGTACCTATAGTAGGCATGGTACTTATAGTAAGTAGGTATGGTACCTATAGTCTGTATGGTACCTATAGTAGGTATGGTACCTATAGTAGGTATGGTACCTATAGTAGGTATGGTACCTATAGTAGGTAGGGTACCTATAGCCTATAGTAGGTAGGGTACCTATAGTAGGTAGGGTACCTATAGTAGGTAGGTTACCTATAGTCGGTATGGTACTTATAGTAGGTCTGACAAATATAGTAGGTACGACACCTATAGTAGGTATGGTACCTATAGCAGGTATGGTACCTGTAGTAGTTACCTATAGTAGGTATGGTACCTATAGTAGGTATGACACCTATAGTAGGTATGGTACCTATAGTAGGTATGGTACCTATAGTAGGTATGGTACCTAAAGTCGGTATGGTACCTATAGTAGGTATGGTACCTATAGTAGGCACCTATAGTAGGTATGGTACCTATAGTAGGCACCTATAGTAGGTATGGTACCTATAGTAGGCACCTATAGTAGGTATGGTACCTAAAATAGGTATGGTACCTATAGTAGGTATGGTACCTATAGTAGGTATGGTACATATATTAGGTATGGTACCTATAGTAGGTATGGTACTTATAGTAGGTATGGTACCTATAGTAGGTATGGTACCTATAGTAGGTATGACACCTATAGTGGGTATGGTACCTATAGTAGGTATGGTAACTATAGTAGGTATGATAACTATAGTAGGTATGGTACCTATAGTAGGTATGGTACCTATAGTAGGTATGACACCTATAGTAGGTATGGTACCTATAGTAGGTACCTATAGTAGGTATGGTACCTATAGTAGGTATGGTACCTATAGCAGGTATGACACCTATAGTAGGTATGGTACCTATAGCAGGTATGACAGGTATGGCACCTATAGTAGGTATGGTACCTAAAGTCGGTATGGTACCTATAGTAGGTATGGTACCTATAGTAGGCACCTATAGTAGGTATGGTACCTATAGTAGGCACCTATAGTGTGGTACTATAGTAGGTATGGTAGTTTATGTACCTATAGTAGGTATGACACCTATAGTATACACTATAGTAGGTATGGTAACTATAGTAGGTATGGTACACCTATAGTTAGGTATGGTAGTATAGTGGTACCTATAGTAGGTATGACACTATAGTAGGTATGGTACCTATAGTAGGTATTATATAGTAGGTATGGTACCTATAGTAGGTATGGTACCTATAGTAGATATGACACCTATAGTAGTAGGTATGGTACCTATAGGTACATATAGGATATGTGATGTTAGTAGGTCACCTATCTTAGTAGGTATTACACGGTCTTGGGTCACCTATAGTAGGTATGGTACACGGTAACACAACCAGTAGTAGGTATTAGAGTGTGACGTTTTGATGACTACACGGTCACCTTCATCTTATAACACAACCAGTAGAAGATTAGAGTGTGACGTTTTGTTGACTACACGGTCACCTTCATCTTATAACACAACCAGTAGAAGATTAGAGTGTGACGTTTTGTTGACTACACGGTCACCTTCATCTTATAACACAACCAGTAGAAGATTAGAGTGTGACGTTTTGATGACTACACTGTCACCTTCATCTTATAACACAACCAGTAGAAGATTAGAGTGTGACGTTTTGTTGACTACACGGTCACCTTCATCTTATAACACAACCAGTAGAAGATTACAGTGTGACGATGACTACACGGTCACCTTCATCTTATAACACAACCAGTAGAAGATTAGAGTGTGACGATGACTACACGGTCACCTTCATCTTATAACACAACCAGTAGAAGATTACAGTGTGACGATGACTACACAACCAGTAGAAGATTAGAAGATGTACAGTTTTGTGACGATGTGACGATGACTACACGGTCACCTTCATCTTATAACACAACCAGTAGAAGATAAGTGTGTGACGATGACTACACGGTCACCTTCATCTTATAACACAACCAGTAGAAGATTGTGACGAGTGTGACACAACCAGTAGATGACTACACACGGTCACCTTCATCTTATAACACAACCAGTAGAAGATTAGAGTAGTGACGTGGTCACCTTCATCTTATAACACAACCAGTACGATTACAGTGTGACGATGACTACACGGTCACCTTCATCTTATAACACAACCAGTAGAAGATTACAGTGTGACGATGACTACACGGTCACCTTCATCTTATAACACAACCAGTAGAAGATTACAGTGTGACGATGACTACACGGTCACCTTCATCTTATAACACAACCAGTAGAAGATTACAGTGTGACGATGACTACACGGTCACCTTCATCTTATAACACAACCAGTAGAAGATTACAGTGTGACGATGACTACACGGTCACCTTCATCTTATAACACAACCAGTAGAAGATTACCGATGACTACATCACCTTCATCTTATAACACAACCAGTAGAAGATTACAGTGTGACGATGACTACACGGTCACCTTCATCTTATAACACAACCAGTAGAAGATTACAGTGTGACGATGACTACACGGTCACCTTCATCTTATAACACAACCAGTAGAAGATTAGAGTGTGACGATGACTACACGGTCACCTTCATCTTATAACACAACCAGTAGAAGATTAGAGTGTGACGATGACTACACGGTCACCTTCATCTTATAACACAACCAGTAGAAGATGTGACGATGACTACACAGTGACCTTCATCTTATAACACAACCAGTAGAAGATTAGAGTGTGACGATGACAACACGGTCACCTTCATCTTATAACACAACCAGTAGAAGATTAGAGTGTGACGATGACTACACGGTCACCTTCATCTTATAACACAACCAGTAGAAGATTAGAGTGTGACGATGACTACACGGTCACCTTCATCTTATAACACAACCAGTAGAAGATTAGAGTGTGACGTTTTGTTGACTACACAGTCACCTTCATCTTATAACACAACCAGTAGAAGGTTAGAGTGTGACGATGACTACACGGTCACCTTCATCTTATAACACAACCAGTAGAAGATTAGAGTGTGACGTTTTGATGACTACACGGTCACCTTCATCTTATAACACAACCAGTAGAAGATTAGAGTGTGACGTTTTGTCGACTACATGGTCACCTTGTAGTTCTTATAACACAACCAGTAGAAGATTAGAGTGTGACGATGACTACACGGTCACCTTCATCTTATAACACAACCAGTAGAAGATTAGAGTGTGACGATGACTACACGGTCACCTTCATCTTATAACACAACCAGTAGAAGATTAGAGTGTGACGATGACTACACGGTCACCTTCATCTTATAACACAACCAGTAGAAGATTAGAGTGTGACGATGACTACACGGGTCACCTTCATCTTATAACACAACCAGTAGAAGATTAGAGTGTGACGATGACTACACAGTCACATTCATCTTATAACACAACCAGTAGAAGATTAGAGTGTGACGATGACTACACGGTCACCTTCATCTTATAACACAACCAGTAGAAGATAAGTGTGTGACGATGACTACACGGTCACCTTCATCTTATAACACAACCAGTAGAAGATTGTGACGTGTGACGATGACTACATGGTCACCTTCATCTTATAACACAACCAGTAGAAGATTACAGTGTGACGATGACTACATGGTCACCTTCATCTTATAACACAACCAGTAGAAGATTAGAGTGTGACGATGACTACACGGTCACCTTCATCTTATAACACAACCAGTAGAAGATTACAGTGTGACGATGACTACACGGTCACCTTCATCTTATAACACAACCAGTAGAAGATTAGAGTGTGACGATGACTACACGGTCACCTTCATCTTATAACACAACCAGTAGAAGATTACAGTGTGACGATGACTACACGGTCACCTTCATCTTATAACACAACCAGTAGAAGATTACAGTGTGACGATGACTACACGGTCACCTTCATCTTATAACACAACCAGTAGAAGATTACAGTGTGACGATGACTACACGGTCACCTTCATCTTATAACACAACCAGTAGAAGATTACAGTGTGACGATGACTACACGGTCACCTTCATCTTATAACACAACCAGTAGAAGATTACAGTGTGACGATGACTACACGGTCACCTTCATCTTATAACACAACCAGTAGAAGATTACAGTGTGACGATGACTACACGGTCACCTTCATCTTATAACACAACCAGTAGAAGATTACAGTGTGACGATGACTACACGGTCACCTTCATCTTATAACACAACCAGTAGAAGATTACAGTGTGACGATGACAACACGGTCACCTTCATCTTATAACACAACCAGTAGAAGATTACAGTGTGACGATGACTACACGGTCACCTTCATCTTATAACACAACCAGTAGAAGATTAGAGTGTGACGATGACTACACGGTCACCTTCAACTTATACCACAACCAGTAGAAGATTAGAGTGTGACGATGACTACACAGTCACCTTCATCTTATAACACAACCAGTAGAAGATTAGAGTGTGACGATGACTACATGACTACACGGGTCACCTTCATCTTATAACACAACCAGTAGAAGATTAGAGTGTGACGATGACTACACGGTCACATTCATCTTATAACACAACCAGTAGAAGATTAGAGTGTGACGTTTTGTTGACTACACTGTCACCTTCATCTTATAACACAACCAGTAGAAGATTAGAGTGTGACGATGACTACACGGTCACCTTCATCTTATAACACAACCAGTAGAAGATTAGAGTGTGACGATGACTACACGGTCACCTTCATCTTATAACACAACCAGTAGAAGATTAGAGTGTGACGTTTTGACTACACAGTCACCTTCATCTTATAACACAACCAGTAGAAGATTAGAGTGTGACGTTGTCTACACGGTCACCTTCATCTTTATAACACAACCAGTAGAAGATTACAGTGTGACGATGACTACACGGTCACCTTCATCTTATAACAAAACCAGTAGAAGATTAGAGTGTGACGATGACTACACGGTCACCTTCATCTTATAACACAACCAGTAGAAGATTAGAGTGTGACGATGACTACACGGTCACCTTCATCTTATAACACAACCAGTAGAAGATTAGAGTGTGACGATGACTACACGGTCACATTCATCTTATAACACAACCAGTAGAAGATTAGAGTGTGACGATGACTACACGGTCAACTTCATCTTATAACACAACCAGTAGAAGATTTCAGTGTGACGATGACTACACAGTCACCTTCATCTTATAACACAACCAGTAGAAGATTAGAGTGTGACGATGACTACACGGTCACCTTCATCTTATAACACAACCAGTAGAAGATTAGAGTGTGACGATGACTACTACACTGTCACCTTCATCTTATAACACAACCAGTAGAAGATTAGAGTGTGACGATGACTACACGGTCACCTTCATCTTATAACACAACCAGTAGAAGATTAGAGTGTGACGATGACTACACGGTCACCTTCATCTTATAACACAACCAGTAGAAGATTACAGTGTGACGATGACTACACGGTCACCTTCATCTTATAACACAACCAGTAGAAGATTAGAGTGTGACGATGACTACACGGTCACATTCATCTTATAACACAACCAGTAGAAGATTACAGTGTGACGATGACTACACGGGTCACCTTCATCTTATAACACAACCAGTAGAAGATTAGAGTGTGACGATGACTACACGGTCACCTTCATCTTATAACACAACCAGTAGAAGATTAGAGTGTGACGATGACTACACGGGTCACCTTCATCTTATAACACAACCAGTAGAAGATTACAGTGTGACGATGACTACACAGTCACCTTCATCTTATAACACAACCAGTAGAAGATTAGAGTGTGACGATGACTACACGGGTCACCTTCATCTTATAACACAACCAGTAGAAGATTACAGTGTGACGATGACTACACAGTCACCTTCATCTTATAACACAACCAGTAGAAGATTAGAGTGTGACGTTTTGTTGACTACACAGTCACCTTCATCTTATAACACAACCAGTAGAAGATTAGAGTGTGAACACTTAAGTCAAAAATAGTAAGATGACATGGTAAACAGATTATAGACCAAAAAATACACAAAATTGGTGAAGACTTACCAACAGAATATCGGCCACTTCATTATAAACTTTGACATAATTACGAAGTATATCGAAATGGAAAGCTGGAGTGAGCAACTTCCTGTTCCGTTGCCATTTCTGTCCATTACTGGTGACAAGTCCTTCCCCTGGAAAATGAATCCCTTCTGCTCTATACATACCATTAAAACAAACAACACAAAAATACCAACATGTCAACATAATCATAATTCAAAGTCAAATTCAAAATAATTTGGGCAAAATCTGAACAAAAGACAGATTTACATGGAGACTCCTGAAAATGTAAAAGAATTAGACCAGGGGCTCCAGAAGAATAAGCATCTTCTGCTTCATCAATAACACCCACCAGGTAAACCAAGATCAAGCCAAGCAAATAATGCCCCATTCTCAAAGCACATAACAACAGAACTAAGAGGCAAACTTAATAGCATCAAAAATGTCGAGCTTCATATTGCACAAAGAAATAGAATATTTCTCAATGAGATCACCATGAGGACACTTAAACCTATTAAAACAATAATATTCATTAACTTGCACCTTTTAAACTCCTACATTACAAGCTTGTCAGTCAGTTGACAACATCTCATGATAATTGAAACAGGTCCTTGAATACCAAATTACTGTGACCTGTACACACCTACTGTGACCTGTACAGGTTACTGTTACCTGTACACACCTACTGTGACCTGTACAGGTTACAGTTGGTTTCGGGTTGGATGACTGGAGAATTATTTTCGCTGTGTCTGGGTGAACTGCTTGTACCAATGGCACAAATGTCATCCACAATCCGGCCATCTTTGATTGACTGGTCTTGGCTATTTGGTTGTATACATCAGTTATAGAATCGTTGTCGTTGAACTATAAACAATGTATGAATTATTTATTAGATACTAGTGCTTCAATCTGAATGTTAAAATGACATTTAATTCAATAAAATGTAAAATAATGACAATTCTGTGATACAGACGTGAGGGATGGCACAATTCACAGATACCGACTTCTCTCTTTTATGTGGACTGAACAGCCAAGCCAGTAAATGACCTGTGCAGCACATATCGGACGTTCTCGTGCTGTGATGTTTCCGTGGTTCGTCTGGTATGCTCCTACGGAAGCTTCCATGTTTTCTGATGGAAGTTCGCAGTGAAGCGTATACATTTCAAGTGATCTGTAACTTCAGAAAATAACACAATTGTTTGTGTTACATAAATACCTTGTCTTCTGCAACATCTTCAAAAACTAATGAAGATTATGTTGACGAACAAAAACATTAGTCAAAACAGACTTTTTTACCATCACAATACGGGACATACATGTAAACGGTATAATTAATTTACAAATGGCCTATTGTAATTACCAAGTAAATACTTTGTCTCAGTATAAAACTCACTGTAAATAGTGACATGCTCAAACATATCTAGTTTGTTTACGTGGCTATAACTGAAACTGATATTGGTGAAAAACTTACGTATTTGACGTGACCCCAAATTGGATGTATGGCGCCTGGACTTCCGTACTTCCTCATCCTCAGACAGAGGGCGCGGTACCGCCACAGGGCAGGAATGACAATCCAAAGCACATAACCGGCTACAACGGCCAAGATGATTTGTAGAGACGCATCCATTGCCCTGGAGAACTGCTACCTGTAATTCATGTTTATTATAAGGTCTTCTTATAGTGGAAGGCCAATGCTAATTGTGTCAACACTAACTAACTATATCACTAACTTCACAACTTGTATCTCGTATGAGCCACGACAACATCAAGGGAGGTTAGAATTACTACTTTCATTCAAAAAATTTCATTTACCAGAATATCTTAACATTGTCCCATCAGAACGCTGTTTACTCATTACTGCACTCTGAGATACATTAAGTTATGAAATATTTAATAAAATTATGCTCAAATTACTTTATTTAAGTGTAGTTTGGTTACAAATCAAAACTTCAATAACAAATTTGACAGCATAAACAGATTTCGTAGAATTTTATACAATGCCCCTGGCCTCCGCCTGGACTCAATACAACTTGTACTCAGATGACAAGAAAGTATCAATTCTTCAAGATCAAAAGTATTGAAAACTGAAACCTTAAGATTTAAATTACAAGGTTGTACATTTAACTCGCCTATGGGAAGGTAAGTGATCCACTCACATCTCGCGTGAGAATATTTCTCATATGGATTCAGCATCTGATACCTTTTATGATAAATAGGTCAGTGTCTTAGTTGAAAATGTTACATAGTGAATCCTTAATCTCCTCAGCCTCAGACACACAAACCTACACCCTTGGTGTAAAATCCTGGATCTCTCATATGTACATAGCACCATAGTGACACTCTGAGTTATGGTGTATATAATCTAAGTGATACTTATACTTGTGTAGCTGATGTTTATGCTAGATCTGCAGTACACATACAATCTAGACTTGCCATTTGATTGGCTGTAAATTTTACCTATAGAAGTCATAGACAAGACCTGATCTTTTGGTTATTGAGGACAAATTCTTTCAAGATTTAAACACATCGGGTCCCTGTGACCTTGGAAGTGGGTCAAGGTCATTCATTTCAAAAATGTTGGTACTCCTTTTACCAAGTATGCTAAAGCTCAAATATCAATATCTTTGGCCTTTCCCTTACTGAGGAGAAGTTGTTTATAGATTTTTAAACATATTTTACCCCTGTAATTTGAAAGGGGGTCAAGGTCATTCATTTCAACAAACTTGGTAGCACTTCATCCTAACATGCCACAGGTCCCATATCATGACCATAGGCCTTTTTGTTACTGATAAAAAGTTTCTTCCAAGATTTTAACACATTTCACACCTGTGACATTGAAAGTGGGTCAAGGTCATTCATTTGATATATTTTCTTAAGGCCCAATATCATCAGGATTGGCCTTTCCTTTACTGAGAAGATTCATTTGAAGATTTCATGTATTCAACCTGTGACCTTGAAAGTAGGTCATAGTCATTCATTTCATCAAACACCACACCGTTCAGTCAGGCATGACCAGTTATGATATTCCTTAAAGGGACTGAATGGTTAGATTTCGTTATTTTTGCCCATGGGTTTGATTTCGAATAAGCATTGTACTACTTAAAATTAGACTCTTCACAAAATTATAGCACTCTCACGAGAGAAATTTATAAAGTTTATCAGCTTCAAACTAACACTTGTCAACACTTGCTGTTGGGTCTGCCATCTATTGCTGTTTTGATGGGGATAGCAGAGTTCATCATGTGACCTTTCAGAGCCTCATTTTAACCTGCTGTATTGATACGATTCCTTACTATGTATAATGATGTCATTAGCCAAAACTGAATTTGCCGGCCATATCTCAATTCTACTTTGTAAAATGACCTCTTGTTTAACACTTCAGATGAATTTGAATTAATCTGAATATAAAATTGCATGCACAAAGACATTGTTTACACTCTCTGAACGATAATGATATGAAACACGGGTCGCTCCTATTTCATTTTGAATTTTTGGATGTTGTTAATACAACAGTTCTGCAAACTTTGAAATATTACAATTAACAATCAAAGTACTGAAAGTACTGAGAGGCTAAACGTTTTGAAAAATGTTCATAAATAACCGCTAAGCTATATTACTTTCCCCATACTCCTACACTTTGGAATGCAAAAATTACTAAAATAAGAGAACCAGAGGCTGTTTTTCTTAATTTTAGGTGATTTTATATCTTCTTTAATTCTTATTTCAAATTTGACGACAATAATGTGAACAAATCAAAATAGGTAAAGAAATAACAAAATACACACAACCATATATTTATTACCAACAAGCCAAATGATAAATAGCTCTATGATGAAGTTGACTAAATAAAACCTTTGAAATACCCAATATGTTGCAATTACTATCCTATCAATATGAGGATTTAGACAAATCGAAAGGACTTTATACCTACTTCTTTATTTTGAATGTATTGCAAAGTAATAGTCCTTACTTATTATAATTATATTTGTAGTTGAGGAAAGTAAATAAGGTGTACACAGCATTTCAGACAGATAAAAGTGTAAGTAATTACATTCAATGTATTTACATGCCTATCTTCCTTGAAGTATCATGGTTAGACTTTTCTTCCAGTAATTATGTCTATAAAGACATAGTTCTTTGAGATTAAACCAGACTTCCATAAATACAAAATTTACAATATTTTCACTATAGCTACTACTATTTCTGATCTCCAATGCATTAGATAATGTCACCATGACACACTAAATGAATAAATGTGTTATGGAAATATTTCGTTCCAGTTAATTGTTAATTATAAACATGAATATTTTGGGGCTTTCTTTATACGCGCTTTGTTTGAAGGAATATTTTCATTTCAAGGAACTTTGATACACATTAACAAACCTTGAGAAATCAGCACAAACAACCTTCATCAAATAAAACTAAAAGACAAAAAATATAAGTTATAACAGAGTCAACATCATGATCAGTACAGTATTAAAAATATATTATTCATAAATCATGAGCACCAAATGAAACTTGCCTACGAAGCGCAAACTTTTTATCTTCAAAAACTTGAAAAAGTGTCATGGCGGTGGGTGTGAAAATCCCGAAAAAGTGTCATATCGGCGGGTGTGCGCGTGGGACGAATAGTCCAATTTGGTGACGTCTAATGAGCTAAAGTGATGTTATATATTAAAACGATCTTGCCACAACGACAAGGATTAAAACAAAATTGATGTTCTGTTTGTAAGTTTTGTTTGTTTATAAGTGTTGTTAGTTGATAATTCAAACTAAGCCCCCAGACTAGCTTCTTATCAACTCGCACTTACAGTGTTCTGTACGCTTACGTCAGGTAGATAATTCCGTAAAACATATTGTTAAAAATTTATCAATAGTTCAACCACACTGTGCTTCTTTTTTTAAATATATAGTAATCGTATTGTTATTAAAAAATAAACTAATTTTGGATGCTTTTAAAATAGCGCTTTGAGGGTCGCGGCATTATTTACGCAAAAAATTGCCGCTAGAGGGCTCTAACTCTTTTCGATATTTCAGCCAATGAGAAGGCCTGGATCGGTAAATTTTGTCTGAAAGGCCGTCGCAATAGGCTATGCGTACTGAGTAGGTTTAGCCTAAAAAGTACACAATCTTTAACAAATATTTAAATTTTATACATTTTTTTATCAGTTATGAAAAGAGTATTGAACCATTCAGTCCCTTTAAGGAATGTGTAGCTGTATTGATCAGAAACAGAATTGACAACGGTGTGTCAAAAAACAGCCCCACACACTGATACCCTGGCTGTGTAATCAAGGCCTACACACTGATACCCTGGCTATGTAATCTAGGCCTACACACGGCATTACAGCATTGTCAGCTTCAAATTTCGGGCCACAATGTAGAATTTCTCAGAATCCTAGTACGAAGTCGTTGAATTATCCCACGGATCGACAAATTAAAGAATTTATCTTGAGATCCAGACTGAAGTCAAAGTGGCACTATCTACTGTATTTTTACGATGGCTGGGAGTTTGGTCGTTTTGTTAAGATTTTCTACCCCGATCAGCGGTATACATTGCTAACAATCACCTGAAGTACCCCTGTTCAGTGAACTCTTACATGTTTTCAAGTTTAATGTAATGTTAGTGCCCAGTACTATTTCAATATGTCGTTAGATGATTCTTACCTAAATAGATGACGACAAATGCAGTTCCGGTGTAGCTGTGCATTCACTAGGCTAAATCATTCCCGAGGTATGTTGATCTAATGGTCAAAATATCGGACGGTGCCGGTGTAGCTGTTTATCTTACCCCGAATAATACGGTACCACACTCGTCATCTTCACTTCACCGTGTCCGATCGCCACATCAAGGTCTCCAAAATGTATACACACTGGGGTGCACAATTCGAAGCGTGTTAAAAAATTATAAGAAACGAATACCGATAGATATATATCGTTCCGAATATTATTTTTTTGTACTTTTCTTTCATAGGGCACGGACCACAGAGATATTTCGGGAACCTTAAAGCCCATAATTGAGGTTGAATTCTAAATGGTTAATCCAGATTGCTCGACAAAGATTGACCAATCAGAACATATTTTATTTTTGAAGCTCGCTTTCCTCTCATTTCTAAGAAATGCATCATTACAATCCAATGTTTGGTATGGCGGCTGTTGTATGTAAAGCACACCTGAATAGAAATTTTGATCACTTAGGCTGTAGAATTTCAGAACAATGATTATTTCTCGTCGATGTTTCCTGTGGACACAGGGGTTTCTAAAATTGTAAACCACTGAGGTGACTAATCACAATCGACATTTTGAATTTTCTTCTCGGACTCGAACAGAACGCCGTAAAAATAATTAACATCACTAAGGTAAACTTTCACAAAGAAAATTGAACATAAATACATACAATATGTTTGTAAGTTTGACAGCTCCTTCATGTGACGTCAGAAGTAGTTATAATTATTTAAGTGTTTCATACATGTTCGTGTATGGTTCTGTGGAATTTTACACCATTCATAACTGAACGTTATCAACTTACATAGAATGACATGCTGATGAAACACCTAAGTCAGTGTTGTTCACCTGTTTGATTAGAAACACGGCAAACTTTATAATTGTGATACCAAATTGTGTTTTGATTCAAACGCTATAATGTTAGTTATCTTCATTAGAATTGATTCCGTGTCAGTGATACGGAGGACGCCACTTTATTTAACAGCTGTAGGTAACAGTGCTGAAAATGCATGGGGTAACTAAACCACAAATCTCATATCATATTAAAGCATTATTAATAAGTGCAAATTGGTTGAGTTTTTCAAAATTTGTAATCCTGATCAAATACTTCCTACATATTCATCTCTGTTACATTGCCATTTCATTCCATATTTACCCACAACACGTTGAGTAGATATGTGTACAGAACAGTTTTTTCCAGTGTCATATTATTCCTGGTAAGCCCAGAGCACCGTTTCTAAAACTTTGATGAGTTCAGTCACAACGAGATAAAGTTGGTTCTCGTCATGTAAGTGAGTCCCACAGGAAATGCATGGGCCCAGGACTGAAATATTCGAGTCCCGAAAATCACTGGAAAAACGAAAGGTTCAAGATTTTTTTCTTGTCTTTGCTATAATTAACTTTCGAAAAACTGTCTCCAGGTGTTAATGTCTCCAACAGACTTTCGGCGACGGGGAAACTGTATTTTCTCCACATTGTTTGTACGTAAATTGAAAAAGTTATATTCCTTCAAGAAAAAAGAAGAAAGAAAATCTCCATGGTATTGAATAATGTATGAGAATCAGAAGTCGGGCGAATTGGTTGAAGTAGTGTAACAAAAAATAAATAGATAAAAAATAAAATGATGGAGCAATATCATAGGACGATTGTACAGAAGTAAACAGCATCTTACTACAATCGTAGATCAGATAAAGTAGAACCAAACAATGAATTAAACTACATCGTACAGCTGTTTCGTCCTTCTAGGACTCGTCAGTGATGCTGCATCATACAGCTGTTTCGTTCTTCTAGGACTCGTCAGTGATGCTACATCATACAGCTGTTCCGTCCTTCTAGGACTCGTCAGTGATGCTACATCATACAGCTGTTTTGTACTTCTAGGACTCGTCAGTGATGCTACATCATACAGCTGTTCCGTCCTTCTAGGACTCGTCAGTGATGCTACATCATACAGCTGTTCCGCCCTTCTAGGACTCGTCAGTGATGCTACATCATACAGATGTTTTGTCCTTCTAGGACTCGTCAGTGATGCTACATCATACAGCTGTTTTGTCATTCTTGGACTCGTCAGTGATGCTACATCATACAGCTGTTCCGCCCTTCTAGGACTCGTCAGTGATCCTACATCATACAGCTGTTCCGTCCTTCTAGGATTCGTCAGTGATGCTATATCATATAGCTGTTCCGTCCTTCTAGGATTCGTCAGTGATGCTACATCATACAGCTCTTTCGTCCTTCTGGGATTCGTCAGTGATGCTACATCAAACAGCTGTTTCGTCCTTCTAGGATTCGTCAGTGATGCTACATCAAACAGCTGTTTCGTCCTTCTGGTATTCGTCAGTGATCCTGCATCATACAGCTGTTCCGTCCTTCTAGGACTCGTCAGTGATCCTACATCATACAGCTGTTCCGTCCTTCTAGGATTCGTCAGTGATGCTATATCATACAGCTGTTCCGTCCTTCTAGGATTCGTCAGTGATGCTACATCATACAACTGTTCCGTCCTTCTAGGATTCGTCAGTGATCCTACATCATACAGCTGTTCCGTCCTTCTAGGACTCGTCAGTGATGCTACATCATACAGCTGTTCCGTCCTTCTAGGATTCGTCAGTGATCCTACATCATACAGCTGTTCCGTCCTTCTAGGATTCGTCAGTGATGCTACATCATACAGCTGTTCCGTCCTTCTAGGACTCGTCAGTGATACTACATCATACAGATGTTCCGCCCTTCTAGGACTCGTCAGTGATGCTACATCATACAGCTGTTCCGTCCTTCTAGGACTCGTCAGTGATGCTACATCATACAGCTGTTCCGCCCTTCTAGGACTCGTCAGTGATGCTACATCATACAGCTGTTCCGTCCTTCTAGGACTCGTCAGTGATGCTACATCATACAGCTGTTCCGTCCTTCGATGATTCGTCAGTGATGCTACATCATACAGCTATTCCGTCCTTCTAGGATTCGTCAGTGATGCTACATCATACAGATGTTCCGTCCTTCTAGGATTCGTCAGTGATCCTACATCATACAGCTGTTCCGTCCTTTTTGTTGAAAGGTTGCGGTTATTAGATGTGTTGGAGTTATTTCCCCTTGTACATTTAAAACCATCCTAATCCAGACATGCGCTGTACGTTTCCTGTTCAAAGTGTTGTTATTTGAGTGGAATGTAGATATTGGTTCGTGTTCCAATATTGTAATAAAACAATGAAAACGACATGAATTTAAAAATTCTAAATCTGCAGGTAGGATGTGTTAGTTCATTTGAACACCCCCGACTTCCACCCCCAACAACCCCCCCCCCCGACCTCTCTTTGGTTAAAACACCCCCAGACCTCCATCCCCAACAACACCCCCGACCTCCACCCCCAACAACCCCCCGATCTTCACCCCAAACAACCCCCGACCTCCAACCCCAACAACACCCCGACCTCCACCCCAAACAACCCCCCGACCTCCACTCCCAACATCACCCCGACCTCCATTCCCAACAACCCCCCGACCTCCACTCCCAACAACACCCGACCTCCACCCCCAACAACCCTCCGACCTCCAACACCAACAACCCTCCGACCTCCACCTCCAAACAACACCCGACCTCCACCCCAACAACACCCGACCTCCACCTCAAACAACCCCCCGACCTCCACCTCCAACAATCCCCCGACCTCCGCCCCAAACAACCCCCCGACCTCCACCCCCAACAACCCTCCGACTTCAACTCCTAACAACCCCCCCCCCGACCTCCGCCCCCAATAACCCCCGACCTTCACCCCCAACAACACCCCGAAATCCACCCCAACAACCCCCGACCTCCATCTCCAACAATTCCCGACCTCAACTCCCAACAACCCCCCGACCTCCACCCCAAACAACCCCCCGACCTCCATTCCCAACATCACCCCGACCTCCACCCCCAACAACCCTCCGACCTCCACCCCCCAACAACCCTCCGACCTCGACCTCCACCCCAACAACCCCCCGACCTCCATTCCCAACATCACCCCGACCTCCACCCCCAACAACCCCCCGACCTCCATTCCCAACATCACCCCGACCTCCACCCCCAACAACCCTCCGACCTCCACCTCCAAACAACACCCGACCTCCACCCCCCGACCTCCACCCCAACAACCCCCGACCTCCACCCCCAACAATACCCCGACCTCCACCCCCAACAACACCCCCTACCTTCACCCCAACAACCCCCCGATCTCCACTCCCAACAACCCCCGACCTCCACCCCAACAATCCCCCGACCTCCACTCCCAACAACCCCTCGACCTCCACCCCAACAACCCCCCGACCTCCATTCCCAACAATCCCCCGACCTCCACCCCGAACAACCCCCAACCTCCACCCCCACAACCCCCCCGCCTCCACCCCAAACAACCTTCGACCTTCACCCCCAACAACCCCCCCCCCCCCCGACCTCCACCCCCAATAACCCCCGACCTCCACCCCCAACAACACTCCCGATCTCCACTCCCAACAACCCCCCTCCCCCCCCCCCCCCCCCAAAAAAAAAAAACAAAAACAAACTAAACAATATTATGAGCATCTATACAGTTTCATGTTTATAAATAAAGTACAAGATTACACAACTAAATCTATCTGTATGAAATGAAATACACAATAACAAAGAAAATGTCATTAATTAAATCTCACTTTTGTTCCAATTTGACTTTTTCCCAATTGTTTTGATTTATATTGATTTCCAAACGTCAAATCACTCCGGTTATGTGAAGTTTATTAATTACGTGTAAAACGACATCTGATTTGATATATATATCCTAACTCTATATAAAATAGCCACGCTGTCACTCCCTTCACACCTTACCATCCAATGGTTCTCTAACCGGACTGTCACTACATACAATACAATCTACAGGTATATATAAATTATGTCTTTATTCCAATCTTGTAGAAATTACATCAGTTTCCGTAATATTTTCTTCGTGTCGGTTATTTCGATAGAATAGAAGTTCTTATAACACAACTAGTAGAAGATTAGAGTGTGACGATGACTACACGGTCACATTCATCTTATAACACAGCCAGTAGAAGATTAGAGTGTGACGATGACTACACGGTCACATTCATCTTATAACACAACCAGTAGAAGATTAGTGTGACGATGACTACACGGTCACATTCATCTTATAACACAACCAGTAGAAGATTTAAGTGTGATGTTTCGATGACTACAAGGTCACCTTCATCTTATAACACAACCAGTAGAAGATCAGAGTGTGACGCTTTGATGACTACACGTTCACCTTCATCAGACAAATGACCAGTGTTACTAGTACTGACGTACGTGGTGTACGAGATGGTAAGGAATCGACCATTTTTCGGCTGTACTGTCATCCCGTGTACTGTAAAGCCAAAAATAGTGTGCCGAGTGTGAAACAAAGCGTGGCCGAATTGACTACAGCACATCCTTACTACCTTGCATCCCTTTTTATCTTAAAATCTGACTACCATTAGACTAAATATAGCACCGTTGGGATTCCGGAGCTCAGTTACTGACTGAATCATAACTGTTTTGGGAGTAAGTACCTGGTAAATGTATGCGCGCTGTTCGCTGGTAGTTTTTGCTGTGATCGCCGGAATTTCGTTGCTTTGTGTGACTACTTGCTAGATCGAATTTTACAGAATCTCCACAAATTGAATATCGTATGTTTGCTAATATGGTGAACCGAGGTATCCAAGAAGAATAACAGTAGATATCAATATATCCTTTTGTGAATTTGAAATCCTAACTTGAGCTGAATATTCCCTTCTTAGCAATAACGTAAACACAGACTCGTCTAGTAACCCTTACCTGTCGGGTGTACTTCCGAGCACAAACAGCTGTCTAATGTCTGCCATGTGGTGACATGGGAATGTACATGCCCCCCTCCCCATCCCCACCCCTTTCTAGACAGTAAACATTGCTGTCACCGCTTGATAGCCACGAAGATTTATCTTTATCCATGCGTGAGTCACCATTTCATTCTTTAAATCGAAATACCTACCTAAATCGGAAATAGAGGATTTTACGCGAGTGGTGACGTCACACTGAATTTATAATAAACAACTTCCGCGATATAAGGTAAATCGAATGAGCTTACCTGTGGAACGTATGTGAATAGTATCTTTAACATACAGAAGATAGAGTAGAGCAAAATAAGGAATTAAACTGCATCACACAGCTGTTTCATCCTCCTAGAACTCGTCAGTGATTCTAAGGCGATTCATTTTGATACCTACCTACATGTAAGAGGTGAACAATGTCGAAAGAAAAGTCAACACTCTGATGGGGAAGTGCACAAGCCTCATAATTTTATAGACCTAATAATTTCAAAAGAACGTCCATTACACGTGTTTATTCTGGACCATGCCAATGTAGGATAGGTTTTGAGGCGGACGGAACCTTTTGTTTACCGCTAAGTCAATCACGTGACGTCATTTAGTCATCGTAATTTATTTCAAAAGGCAACTGATCAAAACAAATGACCAATTTCCTCAATCGAATCTAAAAATCAGAAACATGTAACAAAACTTCAAACTCAAATTTCTGGATATGTCTACCAGATATAAAAGCATTTTCTGAATCGATGTTTTTATTTAGCAATGTCAATATAATAAAATAATTCATCCATAGAGAAACTTTGTGGTGGAAATTTATATTCAGATTTATAGAATAACATATTGTATGTCGTATAAAACACTAAACGTTTATGTGTTGTGAAACATTTTCTGAAGGTTGGAAGGCATATACAATGTATAACAAGTAAGAAATGAATGTGCGATGTTCTGACCAATGACTAGTGAGCATTGTATTAACTCTCAGATCGACGTGACACTCAGTGGCTGTAGGATAATCCTAATGTGTAAAATGCTAGATGTATGTGGATTTGGAATACACAATCAAAACGTTATCCAGGTAAATTCAATCTTGACGTAAAAAACTTGAAATCCGAAACCTGAATATATTTTGAGAAGTTTCTCCTAAATCAGATTTCTATTTGTCATTTCATCACACGATAGACATCCCATAAACGCATGTACCACCGAGTTTTCTTCTTTGAAACAATGCACGTACAACACGACGGCAGGCCACGACAGAAACTCCACAGCGCACGTGTAAATGATCCAAATATCGCGTGTCTGTAAACGTATTGCCCGTGTACGCTTACCCTGATACAGCTGATACGGCAGTGGAAGAGGAAGACATTCCGCACGTGACTCCATCTTCATTATATAAGGTATACCGGAAGTAGGGATTTGCATCTACACGTGCTGTAATCAGTACTTCATGCGCTCTGGCTCACGGCAGAGAGACTTTCAGAATAAGTTATAGAAACCTGAAGTCGTGTAGAGGGTTGGTCGAATACTTACAGGCCTTCTGTGGAGGAAACCTTTATCTAGTAAAAAAGAACTGGTGAGAAAGTTGTGAAATCTTTAAGCTTAATTATTAAGTGTGTATTTTATTTCAAACATTAAGCGGAATCGCATCTCTCTGTATTCATTAAGGGGTTATGTGACTTTAACGATCCAGAGAAGAATCACGTGGACACGGATTATTTACATCATTAAAACGTTTGATTTCTATTCCGGATATACGGCAATATAAAAACATTAATTAGTCATCAACTTAACTGAATGAATGTAATTCTCGCCGATTGTTGCTATAGTTTGACTTTTTACAGTTACCACAAACAGGATTAGATTCCGTTAATTCTTATCTTTGTTCTTACAGTCGCATTGTAGAAAGTTGTATAATGAATAAGTATCGGCGATTTCTGACCTTTCTACCAACGTGAGCTAAATTTCAAATTTTATCAGAAGAGAGAATTGCAACGATTGTAATCATAATTCAATGGGTTTTATGTAAAATGTACTGAATGCTTCCGACTAAAGTTTTGTCATACAATTATAACATGCAGAGGAAACTCGATAAATTCTACATTTTGATTTCTCAAATAGAAAAGTCCCTGATACAAGGCAGAATTGATAACCATTGATTTGGAAATACGCTTTATCACATTAGATATTGAACTAGAAATTGGCGATAGAAAGCTAACAATATTTTTGGCCAGGCTTAACTGAAAAACGGCAAAACATTTACATACAGAGAATCGCTCTCTGAAGATTTACAGGAAGTGTTTATATATCGGTACAGAACACATCAGTTCAGATCCTAATTTCAGAGTTCTTTTGTCCATCTTGTCCTGTGAATAATCACAATAGCGAATAGCGAATAATAAAAAAAAAAACAAACAAAATAATTAATAAAGATCAGACACCACCAACTAATTAATTGACTACACAATTTTACTGCAGAATTGAGGTGTACCAGTTTCACCTGAGTGGTCTAACACGCTGAAATACTCTCGCTTCCTTGTTCCTGTGTGTACCTATGCTTCCTCCCGAACACCTCTTCTCAAGGCCCGCATCTTAACATACTGTCCCTCCCCCTCCCCTATTCCACTCTGATAGACGAAACTAATACACATACCTAGGTATAATTACTTGTGTAGTACTAGAGTATCTATTCGCACTGGTAATAACATGTCTAGCGAATTCATGGGATGAAATTGGCAAGATATTATCGGTTTTGGCATATAACAAGCCTAGTTTTCCTCTCAGCGACGGCATTGGCAATATAGTTAAAACTTTCGCTACATCATCGCACGGTACAATTAATGGCTACTCACTCCGGAATCAAAAGTTTTCTGTAATTATGAGCGATAGACTAAAATCGGTATGCTGCACGCTCTGTAATCCTATCGTAACATATTTCTCTTCTTTCCTCCGTATTTTTGTGGTATCCATCCATTAACTCTTTGTGGACGGGGAATAACCGATTTCTTTTAAACGGAGTTCTTAAAGAGCGAATCTTCAGCAGATACAGTAAACAAACCTCGTAAATATCATACCGGTATGTCCCCTGTATTCACCCCTAGTAAATATCGTACCGGACACACAGATTTTTAATGCAAAATGACGCCCTTGCTTGAAATAAAACGTTAAATCTAATCTTCAAGGTTCAGCTATCGCAATTTTATATCGCTTCAATCTGTATTATATTTCTGAAATACGTCGCGGATAATTTATCCGGATTTTTGTACACAATGATAACAAAAACAACCAAATTCCGGAATGGAGTTAATTCCCCTTCTGACATAATAAGGTATCACATTGACAAGTGTTAAATATACAAAACAATCTGATAAATACCATTACAGGTACATCTTCAATATACATATCTGGTAAGTATATAGGACACATCTTCAGTATAAAGTACGAGGTATGGTCTTAGTATATAACCTGGCCGATATCATACCGGGTATGTCCCCTGTATTCACCCCTCGTGAATATCATACCGGTATGTCCCCTGTATTCACCCCTGGTAAATATCATACCGGTATGTCCCCTGTATTCACCCCTGGTAAATAT